AGATCAGCAGTGCCACGTCAGCAGTGCCACGTCACAGTGCCAAGTCACAGTGCCACATCAGCAGTGCCACGTCACAGTGCCAGATCAGCAGTGCCGCGTCAACAGTGCCAGGTCACATTGCCACGTCAGACATAGTGCCACGACAGCAGTGCCACGTCAGACACAGTGCCACATCAGCAGTGACGTCCGACACAGTGCCACGTCAGCAGTGACATCCGACACAGTGCCATGTCAGCAGTGCCACGTCAGCAGTACCACGTCAGACACAGTGCCACGTCAGCAGTGCCACGTCAGCAGTGCCACGTCAGCAACATGACGGGCCTGCCAGGCCAACTGGCCAATGAGACCATTGCCACCTACAAGCAGCGTTGCCTGGCTCAGATAGAGGCTGAGGAACAACGCCTGCTGGCAATCGAGGCTGCCCACGTACAGGCTGAAGAGGCAGCAGCAGCAGAGAAGCTGCGGCTACAGGCCGATGCAGACGCAGATTCCCAGGCTCGCCGCAAGGAAGCCCAAGATCTGCTACAGCGGCATGAAGCCACAAGCATCGACAGACTCAAGTTCTAGCTTTTTGAACCGAACGGCGACGAGGCAACACCGGAAGAGCAGCATAAGGAGTTCCTCTCCAAACTTGTGACACGGTTGCTGTATGCTTGCAACTACCAACGGTCAGAGTTGGAGAGACAGTACCCGGACCTGACGCAACAACATCAAGAGTTGGCGACGCTCCGCCGCACAGTGTAGAGCCACGAGGATGCAACTCGGGCACTTAATGCCCGATTGTTGGACCTGGAACAGGCTGTACCAGGACCAACTGCTGGGGCTTCCAGCAGTGCACCCTCTAGCCGCCAACTGGAGGAACGCGTTGACCAGATCCTGGCAATGCTCGGCGACATTAACACCTTCGCTGCGCCGTCCACCATCAGCACTCAGCTGCATACCTTGAAGACCGAGGTCCAACAGCTGCAGTCGACGAACGCAGATGGCAATCAGAAGATGCCAACTTTCCAACTGGAAAAGTTCGACGACTACACGCAGCAGGATCTGACCCTCTGGTGGGAGGCATTCACGACGCAACTCAGGATTCTGACTGTCGCTAAGCACAAGTACATCGGCGCCCTGTTCCTGAACTCAAAGGGCAGATGCCAGACCTGGTTGACCCACCTGGCAACCTCCCACGGCGTCAACGTACCGAACCTCAAGGACAAGATCACATGGGAAGAACTGACACGGCTGTGGAAGAAGCGGTTCATCGTCGACGACGCGCCAACACTCGCCATCAACCGACTGTTCACCATGTCACAGGGCAACACAACAACACGGGACTGGCTCACGGAGTGGTAGAAGATTGCGGTTGTGCCCGATCTGAACTTACCATTCGAGCATCTACGCCGTGAGTTCTACAACAGGTCCTGTGCTGCATTGAGCCAGGCTCTTGGTGATCGCGAGCAGTACTCAACCTTTGCTGAGATTATTGACAAAGCAAGGGAGATCATCAAGACCAACAGGTCAGCTGCACACGAGAAATCAACATCATGGCAGCCGACCTATGTGGAGAAGGTACGAACTGGTCCGCGACAGCAGCACTTCGCTGCAGTGCAGCAGGACAGTGGAGATAACCCAGCAACCACTCCAGCATCAAGTAACGGAGATCAGGTGGCCGCTGTCCAGCCTCGAAGCACCAACAAGTCCCGCAACAATGGGAAGGCGAAATCCGCATYGCAGGCCGGAAATGGACAGCCAGGACAGTTTCCATGGGTCAAGTTTGGCTTGACCGAGGCGGAGTACAAGGTCCGCGGCCGCTACGGCAGCTGCTATTGGTGCAACAGCACCAAGCACAAGACCTCCCTGTGCCAAGATCAGGGCAAGGAGGATGTGCGACCCAGCCTCAGCTCGGGAAACTG